AGAAAAGAAAAGAAAAGAAAAGAAAAGAAAAGAAAAGAAAAGAAGACAAGAAAAGAACATTTCCTAACTACCATAGGAAAACACAGCAGGACACTTTGCACTTCCAAACCCAGACGGCCCGCTCTGGGCAGAAGCCAGGCACAACCGTGGGTCTCACTACAGCCTCTAGCAGCCTGCCCTGTTCTCCACAGCCAGGAGCACCAAGGGATTGGGTTTTTCTTTTTTTTTTTATTTCTGAGGGTGGGCAAACAGAAGCAGGGGCCGTTATGTCTGAGCACACTTGCAGGATTAGAAAAATCCAGAAGTTGAAAATGAGGCAAAAAGAGGTCAGCTTGGCCTTTCAATGCCACCCTGGATTCAGCACTCTTGAACAGGCCCATCCAAGGTCCTTTTAGTATATAAATCTGTTAGACTCTATACTCCCTGCAGACAAATCCTACCTCGGGGCGCCTGGGTGGCTCACTTGGTTAAGCGTCCAACTCTTGATTTCAACTCAGGCCATGATCTCACAGTTCATGAGATGGTGCCCCACATCGGGCTCTGTGCTGCCATCACGGAGCCTGCCTGTAACTCTCTCCCTCTCTCTCTCTCTCTCTCTCTCTCTCTCTGTCTGCCCCTCCCCAGCTTGCTCTCTCTCTCAAAATAAATAAGTAAACTTAAAAAAAAGTCGTTATCAAGGGGTGCCTGGGTGGCTGAGTCGGTTGAGTGTCCGACTTCCGCTCAGGTCATGATCTCATGGTTCGTGGGTTTGAGCCCCGCATCAGGCTCTGTGCCGACAGCTGGGAGCCTGGAGCCTGCTTGGGATTCTGTGTCTCCCTCTCTCTCTGCCCCTCCCCCACGTGCACTCTCCCTCTCTCTCTCTCTCTCTCTCAAAAATACACATTAAAAAAAATTTTTTTTTTTAATCTATGTCTGAAGTAGAAAATCTACTCCACATTACCCTGTAGGACAGTCTCCTGCTTTCCCCTCCTGCTGAGAGGTGAGGATTTTAAAGTACAAATCAGGGCGCCCGGGTGGCTCAGTTAGTTGAGCATATGACTTCAGCTCAAGTCACGATCTCACAGTTTGTGGGTTTGAGCCCCACGTCGGGCTTTGCGCTGACAGCTGGGAGCCTGCTTAGGATTCTCTCTGTCTCTCTCTCTCTGCCTCTCCCCTCCCCTCTCTCTCAAAAATAAACATTTAAAAACAATTTAAATGCAAATCTTATGTGAGAAGCTTGGATGCAAACATTCTGGGAGAAGCAATAAAATGTCTTCAATGGGCTTGCACTTGACCTACTAAGAGATGATCCCAGATCCTGACCTGCAGGGGGCTTGCCTGAGGGCAGGAGGGCAGTGTGGCTTTCTCCAAAATCTTGCCCAGCACCCACTCCACTACAGACATTACCCCCTCAAAGTGTAGGAACGTTCAGGTACTTTAAATTCCACCGGAGAGAAAGGAGTGGCAGGCTGAGAAAGACCTACTTGAACTTGGTCGAGCCATCGTCGGGCAAATCCGGGTTCTGGTGGAGACTGGAGACTTCAGTCCACTATACAGCCAGGAGAGTAATCGACAGGGGACAATCTGAAGAGGTTGCATCAGGTTTTCTTTGTAGTCCTAACTCCAGAGATGAGCTTCAGAAAAAAAACACAGACACAAACAGAAACAGTCAACTTCTATTTCCACACATGTATATAAAAGTAAGAAGGCCCTTGACAAAAATCATTAGTAACAGATCTTGAGGGCAATGCATCCTCTAAAGCAACGGTTTTCAGTCTGTGTTTTCAAGCTGTTCCAGGTGCCCTGGAGCAGTGGTTCTCAAAGACAGGTCCCCAGACCAGCAGCAGCACCTGAGATCTTACTAGAAATTGCAAAGTCAGGGGCTCCACCGCAGATCCACTGATTCAGAAACTTTGCAGGTGGGGCCCCCGTCTGTCTCCAAGTGATTCTGATGAATGTTCAGGTTTGAGAACCGCTGCCCTAGAGGCTTGGGAAGGGGTAAGATGTGAGAATTCGTTCAGAAAACAAGTTCTTCTGCTTTTTAAAACGTATGAAAAGGTAAGAAAAAGGTGTGTCTTCTCAACTTTGGGTCAAAAGACAGTTTCTATGAGAAGGTAAACTCTAACTGAGAACAGAACGAGGCAGGGAAGACACATACTATGACAACGAATGGGATCAAGATGACATCAGGTCAAAGGAACTTGTGACTTAAAGCACAGTTAGTAAATTCTTATCCATCCCTGAGGAAACGTAAAAAAGGGAAACAGACACAGAGAAAGACAATATTTAGATCAATGACATCAAAAGGGTAGTTGGCAGGGCTGACTTCTATCTAGAGGGCAAACTGTTGGACAGACTCAGAATGAAAAAGTCTGTAGATCCAGAAAATAGAAAAAGAACACATTTACCAAAACTTCATAATCCCTTTGGAAGGCAACCTATCAAGATTACAGACGCTGGGAAGGCAAGCTGGTGCAGCCACTCAGGAAAACAGTCTGGAGGTTCCTCAAAAAACTAAAACCTTACAACCCAGCAATTGCACTACTAGGCATTTCTGCACGGGATGCAGGTGTGCTGTTTCGAAGGGACACATGCACCCCGATGTTTATAGCAGCACTATCAACAACAGCCAAAGGATGGAAAGAGCCCGAATGTCCAATGGATGAATGGATAAAGAAGATGTGGTATATAGATACAATGGAGTATTACTCGGCCATCAGAAAGAATGAAATCTTGCCATTTGCAGCTACATGGATGGAACTGGAGGGTATTATGCTAAGCGAAATCAGTCAGTCAGAGAAAGACAAAAATCATATGACTTCACTCACATGAGGACTTTAAGAGACAAAACAGATGAACATAAGGGAAGGGAAACAAAAATAACATAAAAACAGGGAGGGGGACAAAGCATAAGAGACTCATAAATATGGAGAACCAAGAGGGTTACTGGAGGGGGTGTAGGAGGGGGGATGGGCTAAATGGGTCAGGGGCACTAAGGAATCTACTCCTGAAATCATGATTGCACTATATGCTAATTTGGATGTAAATTTTAAAAAATAAAAGATAAAATATAAAAAAAAAAAAAGATTACAAGTGCATTTTTCCCTTTGCCCTAGCAATCCCAAGTGAGGAAATTTGTAAAACAGTGAGACTTGCCCACATCCAAAATGATGAATCTGTAGGGTTGTTCTTTAGATCAGTTTGACTAACAGCAGGAGACTGGAAACAACCTAACTGTCCACCTATGGGGGATGAGTTCAGTAAACACAATGGCACAGTCACAACATGCAGCTTGACAAAAAAGAAGGTATGTACGATTCTACCAATATGACATTTTGGAAGGGACAAAACTATGGGGACAGAAAATATGTCATGGTCACCTGAGCCGGGAGGAGTGAATACACAAAGGGGCGCAAGGGGATTTTGGGGGGTGATAGAATTGTCCTACAAGTTGATTATGGTGGCGGTTACGATTGTTGTCTGTCAAAACCCACAGAACACTACACGAAAAAGGGTTCATTTTCCTGTATGTGAACTATAAAATAGTTTAAAAATAAAAGTAACGGGTATAGGGTTTCAGTTTTGTAAGATAAAGAGAGTTCTGGAGATTGGTTATGTAACAACGTGAATGTACTTACTTAACACTATTGAACTGTACCCTTAAAAATGGCCAAGATGCTAAATGTTATGTGTCGTTTCCTATAATTTTTTTTTTAAAACAACAAATGGAGGCGCCTGGGGGGCTCAGTCGGCTGAACGTCCGACTTCAGCTTAGGTCATAATCTCACAGTCTGTGAGTTCGAGCTCCACGTCAGGCTCTGTGCTGACAGCTCGGAGCCTGGAGCC